AATGGCATATTCTATATGTTACTGATTAATAGTAGTTTCACACATGCCAGTGTGTTAAGGCATTCCCAATGACTCGGAACTTGGAACTTTCCAACCTCCTGCTTAAGTCGGTACTATAGAACAGCTCAAGGGAATGGATTCGTAATGTAGATGCAAGCGAATTGCTAATTCCGCTAGCACTTGATGCTAATATGAAACGGAGACTCTCACAGAAGTGCTATCGGAAATTAGCACACAGTAAAATAATAATTATTATAATTGCTCATAGTAAATCATGATGTACTGTACACCGTGTGAACAGTAAATAAAGCATCTCTTCAGTCTTGCGTCACGGTCACTCCCCAAACCAGGCAACGCCTTTACCAAGCCGGCTCTTCTGCAAGGAAACTGCTGGAACCGCGCTGTATCTAGTGTCTCTTTCCAGTACGGCCCGGGTCCGGCTCGGGTCCTGTATGCCAGTGGAAAAGTGCCATAATTTTCAGGGAGTTTAATGCCAAGACCGGCCCATTTTGTCTTTATTCTGGATAAATTTTCATAGTTTGAATGGCGCCACAGTTCAAGTCTTATTACCCCGATAAATTTATTACAGACATTTTAAGAAATAAATTAATAATGATTAGCAATTAGTTTTAGTCTATTAACGTGTGTGTGTAGGAGAGAGAGAGAGTGGTTAACATTCTGAAGCGTTGTTTTAGAATTTTAAAGTTGTAAAATTATTTTGTTTCCGACCAGCTCAATTTTAAAATTGTCAAATATTTTTGTTTCTGATGGGCATAGCAGCTACATGGTCCTGCTGGAATTCTCCCAAGTATCCTGTTTGGCTACTTCGAGTCTGGTGACACCTACTGGCAGTCAGTCGCCAGCACGACTGCGGGGATGGGGGCATTCCAGAGAGGGGAGCGCTCTCTCTTTTCCTTTTTATGGCCCTTGATGAAGCCCACAGCAGAGGGTGATGGAGATGGAGGCTAAGGATGCACACAGGTTAGCTGACAGTCGTGCGTGACCCACACTCATAATGACGAGGCCATTTTAAAAGGAAAATAAGATGGTCATTTTACAGGTGGAAGGTTGTGTCACCAGGTTACCTGACCAAGTCAACTTAACCTGCCAAATCCAAGACCCAACTCCATGGAATTTGTCTTGGTGCCTTGTCACACTTCCCAAATGACATCCTATATATGTACAATTTGCTTGGTGAAAGGCAGCGTCATCTGTCTGAAACCAAGTGTTGCATGACAGCAGTGATTCAGCCAGTTTAATGTAAATGTTTCATGTGATAGAGTCAGATAGAGAGTCAAGTCATTTCAGTTGGCGTGGCCTTGTGTTAAGCGTAGCCCGACTTCATCCTGAAAGTTCTAGATGCTTGTCTCAGGCGACCTTTGCCCTGTAACCTTGAACCCATATTGCCGGAGAAAGGAGTTACAAGCTGTGCAAATTGATTGTCTTTGGGTAAAAATATTTTTGGTGAAGCAGATATCAAATGCGATTGTTTTTGTTGGTAGCGACTGTATTGAAATTTGGCTACCAGCCAGGCTGGCCACACCTCCACCCCCCCACAGGATTTGACAACCCCTATTGAAATGTCAAGGCCGTTTGCGTACCTGAAAGGGCGTGACTTTCAAAGCGTTGTTTACGACAATGTATGAAAGCTTCGAAGAGGCCCTCCGGTAGCCCTACCTCATCCGTCATGGGGCTGGCACGTTTAGGCATGTTGCAAACATGTTTCAGATCAGTCCTACACACGTGTGAAGAGAAAAAGCAGCTTGACACTGGAAGGATGGATTCTGATCCAGACTCCCTCCACCAGGAACCAATGTGGGTGCTTTGCAAGCACGGAAGGATCCATCAGAAGTGAGGTGAAAAGTGAAATCCAAGTCTTGGAGATTTCTGGGTTTGATCTGACTAAGGTCAAACAGCAGCTAGGGACATGGAGTCATCACCCAAAACTCGCGAGCAAGGTTCATAACCTGAATGATTCCAAAACATCAAGCTAGGAAGCACAATTCGACTCGGGGATATCTTTAGGAAGAATGCGAATATGGTTGATTACCACCGATTGATGGTTGATTTCTCACCCAAAGGAACCAATAATTCATACAGTGGGGCCAACGTTATCATTAGCCAATGATATTTTTCGAATTGGGGATTGACAGGGGAGGGGCATTCCGGTGGCCAATCAGCTTTCAGCTGGGGCCCATGCCCCTGTGGTCCCACCCCTCTATACGCCCTTGCATCCCACAATGCAGCCTGAATTGGTGTCCTTTATGTTCAGCCTGAGGTCCCAATGACTCGGCAAACCAGCAATGAAGTTTGTGTCAGTTTGCGCAGCAGCCGCCACTTTGGAAGCCCCACTCGCGCTCTCCTTGCTTGTGGACGTTGGTGGTGATGCCAGGAGGCTGATAAGACGTCTGTGTGACAGGGAGGGAGAAGGTTCATCACTCCAATCAGTCCATGGTGTCCTGATCCCACCAGTTGATCTTGAGGACATGTGGTTAGAGGAACAGGGGTGGGGAGGTGGCGGCTAGAATCTGCAGGAAAGAGCGATGGTGGAGGAAGGTATCTGTCATGAACATCAAGAAGCACCTTCCCAGGAAGGGAGTGAGAGGGGGTGAGCAGGTGAAAGAGGGTGGAGTGGCAGGACCGGGCAAGACGGCAGCACGGGGAACAAAGCGGGGAGCCATCTCGACCCACGTCGCCATTGGCCAATGGGCTGTGAGGCGTTTCTTTGTTGTGTTTTAACCTGACGTTGCTGGCAAGAGGTGCCGCAGATCTGAGGGCAAGAACTTGTTTTTGGGGATCCAGTTCTAGAGAATAGAGATTGTTTATTTACGTTGCTTCTTAAAGGAAATCGACTGTAAAATCAGCAACGGGACAGGTTTAAACAGGCGGAGCTAACATACAGACAACTTGAGGTTTTAAAAAAAGATTTTAGGTACATCCTGTAGGTTCAAAAGGGATAGACTTATATATATTTATGTCTTGCAAATTCCAAAGTGACTTGCAAGTTCGTGCACACACAAAAAAAAATGCATTCAGCAATAAATAAACTGAATATGGACACACAACGAGGAAGTGAAAATACTTGATCAGCGTAGCTTCCTGTGTGAAATATAACGATATGAGTCTGTTGCTCAGTTTTTCTGCACTAATGGCAACCTAGTTATGGGTCAAAAAAACGTTCACAGTGTGTTTGATTTGGAGAATTTATATGCTCTCCTTGTTTTTGGGTGGGTAATGTCCAGGTACGATCTTTAAGTGGACTGGTGGCACTGGGACAGCTCAGTGGTTTGGGTAATCATTAGTGAATCTGTGTTGGTATCTGTACCAGGAATTGGCTGGATCACCCAGAAAGGTCTTCCAATATCAGTATCATGGTATCTGATTTAATGCCCCTTTTACTTAAGAGTGAAGTCAGTGCATTAGCTCCTCAGAAAGTTTTTCAGTATAATATGGGAAACACCCCATGTGTAAAAATGGTTAAATTACACGTGGCTTTGATTAAATGAGTTTGTTTTGGCCTGTGTTCTGTAGTGAGGAGAGCAGGACTGACGGAGTCGACTCTGATCTCTCACAGGATCCCTGGCAAGCGACTGTGTCTGTGTCGCTCCCTGGGTGTTGGCCCTTGGTTACGCTTTGTTTGCTGGAAAGTGTGATTTGTTTATTTTGTCGTCTTACGAGTGACACAAACATCAAGAGGAACTTGAACCCCAATCGATAGAACTGCGCACATTCTCCTCACCCATACCAGATTTGCAGCTTTCCCCGCCAACCAGATGGTAAATGTATTTATTTTGTCTACGTCTTCATGTTCATGTCTTAATATGTCATGTTTATATGTTCCAATGTTTCTATTTGATTTATTACTTTTTCCTTCGCACTATGACCAATGAGAATGATATTTAACATCCGTGTATGACCCATGCATTATATATCTGAAGTTCATAATAAGAATGCTTTGGATGGGGAGCCTGAGGCGGCTGGAGCAAGAATAGGGAAAGGGTGACCTCTAGTGGGGAGGAGGACTTACTGCTGTGTGTGCATAAAGGAATATATAGACAACACATTGTGTTGAACTAGATTAAATTGCTTAACTGCTTTTGTTCATGTAAGAATGGGATTTTCAGTTATTTATTGATTCATTTGAGCTCTCGTGCAAATGAATCCGCATTTTCAGATGCAGTTATCTGACTGGTGAGTCTTTGCTCAAACAAATGGCATTAATGTTCTTTTCAAATATACTATGGTGAACTGGGGGGCATTTTGTATCCCAATCTATGTACCGAGCAGGTGGAATGCACCTCAGTTTAGTTAAACATTCGGTTGCTCCTGGAGGAGTTCAAGGATTTATCCAAATCCCAACCGCCATCATTGTCACCATTCACCTACATAATGTTTCTCAAGTCAAGGCTAGACTGGGTGCTTTCAGTGCTTGGATAAACTATTGACTATTTCGCTTCACTCTCTGTGGCCCTGAACAGCCACAGTTTGTTTTCCTTTCTGTTTTTTTTGTTTTATCACCTCACGCTCCCGTTTTCACCGTGAGATATCTCGCCCACAAGGTCTGGCTCACCACCAAGCAGGAAATCAGCCTGCACGTTGTCCTGGCATGTAGGTTCTGATTCGTCCTCGTTCATGAAGGAGTACGTGATAGGTCCCTGTTGTTCGAGACTCCTCCCACAGTCATGTGACCGGTCGACTTCCAGTAATCACTTGGGGTTTCTGTGATACTCTATACCCATAAAAGGGGCTTCCAGTAACACACATGTTTCACACACAAAGTTTAACAAATTCTAAACTTAAAAAGTATACAATTATTAAGATGATCATCAGTTTTACCATAATAAAAATGACCACATATACAGTAATAAAATACAATTTGAAGAAATAACTGAAACTAAAATCGTTCATGAGTCTAATGGGGAAAATAAAACAAGAGAATCATTGTTTTTTTTAATTTAAAAAGGAAATTTAATGATGATGTGATGGTACCAGATGAATCATTTTGGGACACAGAGACAGCCATTTTGTTGACAGTCCGAGAATCAACTGTTCTCCTGAACATCTGCAGAAGTTAGTCACAAAGTGTAACGTGGAACCCTGACCCAAGCAGTTACATAATCCTGGCGAGCTTTTCAGAAGTTTGTGAACAAACGCAGCAAAGCACTACCGGGCAAAATGCAAGGTGCTGAAATTAAACATCCTGCATGGTGACCATAGCCCTGAATAAGCAGTATTAGCTATATTTGTACTGATTGGGAGTCAATCTACTATAAAGCATTTTTACAGTCTATGTCACATCCCTCCATCATCTGCCTTGATGTTTATTGGATCCAGTTGGGGTAGATTTGCCGCAGCTGCACACGAAGGGCAAACAGTGGCAGACACACACGTCTGTGAATGATTACGGCCCTCTGGTGTTTACACGGGAGGCCTTATCTTCGTGAGAAGAGGCACAGCCATGGCACAAGGTAGCCAGACATCGATTTATTTTATTTTTTTGCACCGAATTTGAATTTATTGCCTCATTTGGCAGTAAGAACACAGTCCGGCATTTCGGGAACCGTTGCGTTTCTAACTGAAAAACTCAGTCTAGCCAGTAATTTCACAGATATGTCATTCATGTTATATTGCGGTCCAACCCCTCACCAGGAACAAAGTCAAGTGAAGAAGGAGAAACCGTTTTGTAAAAAATAATGCATAGTTGTGATACATTGGTAAAACATTAAAGAATATCTAATAATAAAAAACACACACTTATAGTTTGCTCTTCACGCCACTTATGGAATATTTAAGAGTATCGGCATGAGCTCAGGAGCATCAGGGGGTAAATGCCGCAGTGATGGGACACGGTGACGACTTCAGACGTACCCGGTGACACTATAGCCAGCCACCGTGTTGTAGGGGTTCCCCTTTGGGGCGCCCCCTGCGCCGCTAGCCTGGCCGCTGGAGCTGGAGTCTCGGGAGCGGGCTTGCTGCTTTAGCAGGGATGGGGCGTGGAAGGTCATGCTGTGAGGGGCCCTCCTGGGGGCCCGTGCGTGGTACGGGTAGCCGGTACCAGCCCTGGTGGCCCCTCCGCTCCCGGAGGCGTCACAGCAGGAGAGGCAAAGCACGACGCCAGCCAGCAGGGAGACGACGGAGGCCGCCAGGCCCGCGTAGAGGCACTCGCCCAGCTCGTCCTTGTACATTGAAGGCAGACTGGGCTGGTAGAAGGTCTGCACCACCTCGTTGGTGACCCAGGAGACGGGAATGAGGCACAGGAAGCCGGCCAGGAGGAAGCAGCAGCCGGCTGCTCCAGCCACCTTGGCCTTGCCGGAGGAGCCGTCCAAGCAGACGGTACACTGCATACCCAGGGTGGCGGCGAGGCAGCCGAGGATGGACAGCACGTTGGAGGTGACCATCATGGCGCGGGCTGTCTGCAGGTCGGCGGGCAGCGCCAGGATGGAGTCGTAGGGGTCGCACTGGAAGGAGCCGGTGCTCTGGAAGACGCACTCCATCCACAGGCCCTTCTTCTGCTCCACCACCGTCACAATGCTGTTGACGGTGAAGGCCGAGGTCTTCCAGTGGGGCAGTAGCGTGACCACCAGGGTGGCCAGCATGCCCAGAACGCCCAGGACAAAGCCCAGGAGCTCCAGCCCCATCATTGGCATGGCCGACCCGCTTGTTCCTCCCGTGGTCTGCTTGGCAGGAACTCCGACTCAAACCCACACGCCGCTGATGCTGCTCCTGGGTCACGTCGTAGGTCTCTGGCACCTCCTCTCGTCCTCGTTTACGATAGACTCTTTGCTTCCATCCAGCGTCCCGCAGAATTCCTCTGTCCCATGGGTTCGATCTCATCTGCTCTAAAAATTGGGACGCCCTCCCCCCAAGGTGCACAACAGGGAGGATACAAACAGCCCCCATGGGCTGCGAGTTAAACATTTCCCGGCTCGTGGACGCCTCCCGCTGTTGACCTTTGGTCCTCTCATTCCTAAACGAGGTCCTAGAAGAGATGACCGTGTGTACTCTTTGCTGCCCTCTGCTGGTCAGGGGAAGATTTAACCTGACCACCAGTGCTACAGAATGAGGAGGTCGGCTACAGACGTCATTAACTACCAAAGCTGTGACATCTGCTCTGAAAGAAGGTGACATGTAGAAGAACGAGTTCAATCTCCACTCTCATGCTGTTCAGCTAATCCTACATCTTTCTTACTATAATAATCTAGTCTTCCATTTATTTTGGCAAACATCTGTGCCCAAAGCAGTGTACAATTGAGAAGGTTGTGTCACGCTGTCCCTGAACAAGTGGAGGTTATGGGTCTTGTTCAGGCGCCCAACGGTGACATCACTCTACCGACTCTGAGAGTCGAACCGGCGACTTTCCAATCGCAGGCATAGCATCCAAACCAGCTGAGCCACAAAGGGAAGATTTCACCACATAAGAATAACTTGGTAAACTCATGCTGTCACCTGATTCAATCCAGTTTCAATTATATTTATTTTTATATTGCGCCTTTCCCAACAGAATCACCCCAAAGTGCTTTACATGAGTGTTGCGATACATCACTACACCATTTATACAGAGTAATACTAAAACGGGGAAGAGGGAGGACAGATACATGAAAAGAAAGAAAGCCGGATGACAATGAAGGAGAGGAACCAAAAACTCCCAAATAGGGAGAGAAAAACATCCAAGGTCACCTGGCTGCTAAACCCCCATGGGCTCGCTAACAAACACTTCTTTGAAAGACTGAGCAGTTTTACCCATAATTCCAGAGAAAAACACACCACCTGGGATGCCAGAGAGAGAGACACAGTACTTTGCAATATGGCTGCCACGGTGACAGTGCATGTGTAGGGTGGGACTAATTTCCCATAATATCCAATCACACATCATCTGGGCTGCACAGGGATTGAGTCCTAATTTGGACTCTGTTTCTGAGCTCGTGACCGAAGGTGAAAATGTGAGGGAGTTCATCAGAGCACAGAAATTAGTACAGGGCATGCCTCTCCTGATCCAGCAGGAACCACAAAGGATTCTGGGTCACACACTGCACCAGCCTGCCACGATGTCATAGTCCTGAGTAGCTCTGGGGGGCCTCGTAGCTTCGCTAGGAAGATCCTGCCAGATCTTCTAGTCAAATGCAAGATGGTGCTGCCGCCTTGTCTCCCCGTGGGCAGGAGACACCACTATGGTCCAGGAGCCTGACCTCCTCCTGCTGAGTAAACTTACAGCCAGGAGGGGGCGCTGTAGAGCAAAAGGGAACATGTGTGATGTCAGTACACACATATACTGATTAGACCCTAACCATCAGGAGGGTATGTTACCCAACAGAAAAACACCCCCAAGATAATAATTAGCTAAATGAATAATTAGCTATAATTAATCCTGACTTTATAATCTTTAAAAAAAATGATTAAGAGGAATTATATCCTCAGAAGTAATGCAAAGCACTTAGGATAGAAGAACAGGGCTCTATGAAATTTGTCACTTTGCCTTGTTGAGAATGTTTATTGATCACAGCTCCCTCAGCTAAGGTTAGCATTCCTATAAAAAAGGCACCAAATATGATCAGTTCATTCATTTTGATAAAGTTTCCAATAAATTTGATAAGGTTTCCAATCCCAGAGCAGTGTGGCTCCACATTCAAGTTACAATATACCGATTGATCTCTTTTCTTGTTCACCACACTTGAGTAAAGTTCAGCATCAACGTCTGCTTGAGTGGTACAGCTGTAGTATCTAATTACTGCCACTGGAGGGCGCTCATTATTTGAAGAAGTGTGGCGCTTTGGCTTTCGCAGAGATGAAGACTGTCATTACTCCCCTTGTTTGTCGGTAATTTGTCAGTAATTATGGATTAGGCATTAAGGGACTCAAAAGATAATGGAATCTCATTGATAAAGTTTTATGCATTATATGTACAGTAAGGGTATAACTAAAGTTTATATGGTTTTATGGGCTGGCTACTGCATGTGTTGTGGGTGTGGGAGTCTGACATGTTTGTGGACAGGCTGGATGTGGGATGGTGTTAGCAGACTTTTGCATGTAGAGGTCAGGGGTTATTCTGGAATTTTCAATTTCAATTTCAATTTCAAAGAACTTTATTTGTCCCCGAGGGGCAATTTAAAAGGCATAGAGGAGCAACGCACACAAATGACAGTAGTAACATTAGACACACAGACACACAATAAACTATGAACATAATAAATTACTTAAAGTACAGTGGTGCTGATCTGAGAACAGCCGCCCCACGTTTGAGATTCCCTTGAAGCTGAGACTGGGTTCCACTATAGAAATTGGGGGTGTGTGTGCCTGTGGAGGCGTGAGAGGGGGCGTGCTGCCCCAGTAACACCTCCCGAATCAAGGCAGAGGTGTGAGGCCTAGCCGGGAGTGTCGATGGTGAGGTCACACTGCAGCATGCCACCTTGGTCGCTAGTGACCGCTGACCCCGTGACTGGGGTCAATCTGGTGTCACCAAGACACCGCAAACCTGCAGGGTAAGTGTTACAGCCCCGGGATCGGACTGGGTCATCTGTTGTGTCATAACAAGAGATCAGCAGCCCTGGATCTACAGGTAACCCAGTTAATTAAACCCGGATGTAGCCTAAATACCTCATAAAGGATATTTATTGGGTCAAACCGGGTGGATTGGGAGAGAGATGAAGGGCGGAAATAGGAGGAAGACGTCTCTCCGCCGGTTCCTTGTATGGGGTTTCCGTAGCTGCGTTTCAGGGGTTTCTCATGACTGTGTTTTTTTAGGTTTTTTTTGTCTTTCTTAAAGGGACCTCATCCCCATTTTGTTTAATATTGACTTCATCGTGGTCATTATAAACCTCGCCATCTGGCAGACCTTCCCTAACCCGCCGTGCATTTACCTGTGACGCCGATAAACATCAGACCCATGCTGAAACGGACGGCCGAGCCTCTTCCTGCAAGCACATTAATCACAGCCAATCAGAAGCCGTGTTAGAAAGAACAATAACCTGGGATAAACGCAACCACGTGTGGGACGGGACTTTTTGGCGCTGCTTTTCATTACTGTAACGAGCCCTGCAAGTACAGGGTGAGCATCAAACATCGGGGATCTTTCCCCCAAATTCGGAAAAGCGGATTCGCGAGCATTACGGTACGAATGAGACTCTAGTGATCCCTCACAATCTCAGAGACACACCTCGCGCTCTTAGTGGGGATGGTGTGTAGCTCAGTTGGTTAGACATCTGTGGCTGTTATCGGAAGGTTGTTGGTTTGAATCCCGTGCTCATCAGAGGCCTTTAAAAAAAATAAATGTTGGATGGATGGCTGTCCCTGTGTTAAAACCCCAAGCTTCATGCATCTATATGTGAGTGTATGTCAAGGAGAGCAGGGGTATGCAAAAAAAAACACACATTAAGATGTACCTGATCTTGTAATTATTGCAGTAAAGGGGGAGAATGTTAGGATGATTCCAAGGGGTCTGTAAGTAACATCCTACTGGTGGGATAAAAATCAGAATCTTTATTCACCGAGTACAAAAATTACCAGGAATTCTGTTTGCTGGTGGTGGTGGTACGACTTGCCAATTAAACGCATAAAATCAAGAAAGACAGACATACAAAAACACGAAAAAGTGTGTGGATACAAAAATAAATATATGGACAAATGAGTAAAGTGGAACAAGCAGGTGTATGGTGCAAACGATGGCTTCCTTGAGGGATTTGTGTGTGTGTGTGTGTGTGTGTGTGTGTGTATATATATATATTACATTACTACTGCCACCCTCACCCTAACAATGCAAAATAACAGGACAAAAGACTAGATAATACAGTAGATAAATAAGTAAATAAGTAAATAAAAGGATAGACAGGATAATAAAACAGGAAAGGAAGAAAGGATCTCATTATGAATGGTAAGTGAATGAAAAGAAAAAGATAAAGTTATGATGGATGAATAAATGTGAGAAATATAGCAGGAGAAAAACTACAAACAACTACAACCCATGCGTGTGTGAGTGAGTGTGACAGAAACAAACAGACCTAGAGTGTAGACTAGATTGGGGTCGGTGGGTCGTTTGTCCGGTTAAGAGGCAGATTTTGGTAGGTGTTGAGCTGGGAACCGTGGGTAAGAGTACAATCTGTGGCGTGTTTCTCTCAGGTGTGAAACTCTGTCTAACAAGGTGCCAAGAGAATGGGGAGGGGGTGGGAGGCCACAGGGCATGAAGTTTGTGTGTGATTCTGCTGTTTAAAAACATACGGCCCTGGAATATTGCTCAGCTTTGAAGGTCAAAGGTCAGGGGCAGACATTTTGGCAGCTGCGTGCAGGTCCTGGTTAGTCAAGCACAGATCCAGCAAATCGGACGCACGGTCCCGTCTCTCTTGGGCAGTCACACGCAGTCTAATAAGGTGTTAAGAGAAAGGGTTGGGGCGGGGGGGGGGGTTGTGAGCAGTGCAGCGCCTGGAGTTGGCGTGTGGAGGTATTTGTGGGTTTGGGGAGGGGAGGGGGTGCCGCACTGACACCTCACCACCCAGCTTGGAGGTGTGAGGCACGACCCGGGGTGTGGGAAGCTGGGTCACACTGTGGCACACGCAGCCTGGGTCGAGAGCGGACACTGACCCAGTGAGCAGGGTCACGCTGGTGTCAACAAGACACTCAGATGTACACTATATGGACAAAAGTATTGGGACACGCCTCTTAATCACTGAATTCGGCTGTGTCATTCAGACCCATTGCCACAGGTGTATAAAATCAAGCACCTATCCATGCAGTCAGGTTTACAAATATTTGTGAAAGACTAGGTCATTCTAAACAGCTCACGCGTAGTACTGTCATAGGATGCCACATCAGTTTGTGACATTTCTTTCCTGTTGGATATTCCACGGTCAACTGTAAGTGGTATTATTGTAAAAAGGAAGTGTTTAGTAACAACAGAAATTCAGCTTTGAAGTGGCAGACCATGTAAAATAACAGAACAGGGTCACTGAGTGCTGAGGCGCATAGTGTGTAAAATCGCCAACGCTCTATTGACTCAGTAACTGCAGACTTCCAAACTTCCTCTGCCATTAATCCCAGCATAAAAACTGTGCACCAGGAGCTTCATGGAATGGGCTTCCATGGCCGAGCAGCTGCATGCAAGCCTCACATCACCAAGCACAATGGCAAGCGTCAGATGCAGTGATGTAAAGCACAGTGCCACTGGACTCTGGAGCAGTGGAAACGTGTTCTATGAGTGACGAATCACGCTTCTCTGTCTGGCAGTCTGATGGACGAGTCTGGGTTTGGCAGATGCCAGGAGAACGTTACCTGCCTGACTGCGTCATGCCAGCTGTAAAGTTTGGTGGAGGAGGGATAATGGTATGGGCTTGTTTTTCAGGGGTTGGGCTGGGCCCCTTAGTTCCAGTGAAAGGAACTGTAAATGCTTCAAAACTTTGCACAATTCTATGCTTCCAACTTTGTGGAAACAGTTTGGGGAAGAGGCCCTTTCTGTTCCAGCATGATTGTGCCACAGTGCACAAAGCCAGATCCATAAAGACATGGTCGGGTGAGTTTGGTGTGGAAGAATTTTACTGGCCCTCACAGAGTCCTGATCTCAACCTCATTGAATACCTTTCGGATGCACTAGAGTGGAGACTGCAAGCCAGCCCTTCACATCCAGCATCAGTGCCCAACCTCACAAATGCTCTTCTGAATGAACAGTCAAAAATTCCCACAGATATACTCCAAAATCTTGTGGAAACTTTCATGGCTGTTACTCTTTCATTATTATTAATTACTATTCCTGACTGTTACTCTTTCATGACTGTTACTCTTTCATTACTATGACTCTTTCATGCATGTTACTCTTCATTAATATTAATTACTCTTTCATGACTGCTACTCTTTCATTACTATGACTCTTTCATGGCTGTTACTCTTTTATGACTCTTACTCTTTCATTACTATAAAATATTTATGTGGGCAGGGAGCAGGCAAAAGCAGTGCCAGTGTGGAGTTACTGTCTGTGTAATGGGCAGATTTTGTAGGTTCTGGACTGGGAACTGTGGGTCAGAGCTGGGATCTGTAGGGTGTTTCTCTTGGGTGTGAAATTCAATCTAACAAGGCACTAAATGAAAGGTTTTGGGGGAGGGGTCAGCACAGGGTCTGGAGTTTGTCTGTATGTGTTGGTGAGGTGGGAGGGGGGGGGGGTTGCCACACTGACACCTCTCCAATCAGCTCAGAGGTGTGAGGCGTGGCCAGAAGTGTGAAAGATGGAGTCACAGTGGTGGCACGCTG